TGTCAACTTAAAATGCGAGAATTGTGCAGTCTGTTGTCTGAGAATTGTCTCAATGGTCCTGAAATAGAGGGAGTTTAATTCAGTGTGGGATTGTAAAAGCACAACTGAGACAGTAATATAATACTGGTATGTAGCAGCCCAAAGTCAAATGAAAAGTCCAGAAAGTGCGAGCTTTTGAATATCATCATGATTCGTGATCATGTACCAATTTAGTGATGGGAAAAAATAATAGCTTGGAGCATTGAACAGCCTTCTGTGCAGGACAAGAGAGAAAAATGTTGTTTATATTGTCCTATATGCATTATCAGGTTAATCAAAACAAAGAAAGATTCAAAATCGTTTCTAAGAGATTCATATTAAATGTCAAGTACAGTCTATATTGTAATGTGTTTACAGACAGAAAATATTTTGCTTATTGAATAGTACTTTGCATTTTATCAATTATTGTGGAGAATGCAATCATCAAACAAAATGTGTGTGCACTATTTTTCTATGCTTTGTGTTGACAATTTACTAAAGAGCATAGGTTATGTTATTGTATTTTTTATTGACAAGAACTTCTATTATTGCAGTTGCAGTTCCATTATATGAGATTCAACGAAATTAAAGGCAATGCACCTCACTTTAAGTTCATTGTGCAGGGCCAGGTGTAGGCCATTTAATTAGTGCAAATCCACGTGAACTGGGTAATGGCACAGCATGCCATTTCTAATTTGTACCACTGCTGGAAATAACATTGGTAGTACAGCCGTTAAGAATTGTCTTAAATTTCACATGTAGTGATTGCTGGCTTTTTTTTCATTCTATAATTTTGAAGAATGTAATGTGGGGCCATGTTGCTTGCTTGACTTCCCTTTCTAAAACGTAATGTCATGTAGTTGTCATAATTGAGTTATTATAATGCTACTGGACATTTAAAGAGGAAGCCCCTTTGCATTGCTGTCAAAGATAAGCCTAACATGGAACACAGCATGTGTGCAGCATTTAACAGTTTTTTACTACAAATAGGAAATTGAGCTTGCTTTAGTATACCTATCGTGTTTTCCTGCAATCATTGATTTGTAGGTTTCAAGTGGAGTCCCATGGACGAGTATTATTACGTTTTACAGAATGATTTTATAAAGTATAAAGAATATTAAATGTACTACATTTAAGCAACCTTAACTTTTTAGTTATTATTCACACTATACATACCACGTACACACATTTTTTCCATAACAAGCAGTGGCATATTATTAAATTTAGTAAAAATTACTCACCGACGGTTTTTGGTCTAAACTTAGCCAGCTTTCTATCCCGTTATGATTGATGGCACACGGTGTGCCCATCTAGACACCACTGGGCTGGTTATTCTGTCTAAAACTGCCTCTGCAATCAGCTTCTCGCTGGGAGGGAGCCCTGTTAGGTGGAACATCATGTCATTCCTACAGTGACCCCTTTACGCACAATAAAGTAGTTGCATTACTGTATTTTCTGGGGAAGTAGACCAACGAAACTGTAGTCAAGAATTTCATTTTAATTAATAGAATTGTAGTGGTGTTTATTCACGCGGACAACTTATTTTTCTCCTGTGTCACTTTATTCGAGGCATCCCACACGGATGCTCCTCACGTTCCACCACACGTACTCTTCTCGCGAACTCTCCCTCTCTTGCTCCGCTAGCCTGCTACTCCGCACTCTGCTAGCCTGTCACGGACGCTCTCTCTCTGGCTCCGCTAGCCTGTCCTCCGCTAACTTTTCACCCCACTAATCTCTCACTGAATCTCCTGCTAGCATATTCTCCGCTAGCCTAACACACTCACACTAAGGATTCTGCTAGCCTCTCCCCCGCTAGCCTGTTACTCCACCCACACCTCCAACCTCGCCCGTGCCCCCAACGGGGGTTCAGCCAACACTGCTGGAGAGGACGAGGTGTGGAGGGCGAGGTCCCGGACTTCTCTTGTATTGACTCTTCACTTCATCTCCAACCAACTCAACCCCATTGCTTCACATTTCCCCCTTATATCCCCCTCCTCATTAAGTGTCCTCAGGTGGCGCTCATTAAACCAGTTTCCTTCCGACGTCTCTTGCACGTGCTCCCCCCTTATCGCCTCCTTGGTGCCTCCCCCTTGTTTACATTTGCAGCCAGCCAACCACTGCCTCTTTCCCTAATTGCTGGCGTCTCTTTGTCTGTAGTCTCCCAGGCCACACGCTTGCACCTGCTCGTCCTGAACTGACCTCACTGTTTACAACCCCGTACATGAATGCAACTGCTGTTTGTAAACCCTGCGCGCGTTATGCCACTACATAATTACTATTTAGAGGTGGCTGGGTGGTTGAGCAAGAGGAGCTATTACCCCGTGCCAAAATGTTAAGCGGACCTTCTAGAATGTTATAGCCAAGCCCCACAGTATTCGAGCAGAAGAGCAAGAAATATGAACATCTCCTTGAGCGTTTGAATGGATTGTCATTTGCAGTGAGTGACCATAACCCTGACATACATACGACCGTACATGGATTTGGGGGGAAAGGAACAAACGCTGACATATCGTTGCGCTTGATGCAGTTAACACGCAGCTGTGATACTTTAGAGCGGTGAGACAGCAAAACATTTATCAACTTGTTATAGGTGAATGGCAATATGTTATCTTATATTGCAACATACAGCTTAAATTATAATTATATTAACGCAAAGCGGCATTTAATATTTGTTTTAACACATTTTAGGTTATCTTACATTATTTTCTGGAAAGCAGCACATTCGAGTGACCGTTTAAATCCTGCTTTTAAACATTTCCTCCAGCGAAGGGCTTTATCCTATTTAAAGGTGAAGTGACAAGGAGTTAAAAAACCCATTTAGCATTGTACAAAAACATTCCAACGCTCTTCTGGCTTTTTTGTTTTTGTTGTGTACCTTGAGACTGAGATTATTGCGTATGATTTTTCTCTCAACGGCGTGCATATTCTGCACAAATCCAATAATGCCACAATTGTAGATAGGAGTGACACGCACAATCAATGAAACCCAACACTTTAACCGTTAATTTGTTTGTCTCCATATGATGCTCCTTGTAAGGAGCAATAGTATTGTTAAACAGGTAGGCACGTTTGCATTTGTGTCTCATAATCGAGATTCAAGAAGTGGAATACAGTTGTATGGTATCGTAACCTTTAAAAAAATCACACGAAGCCCTTGGCTTTGAATTTATCGCGTATTGCCCAAATGCCTTATATTACAAGTGGCAGTAAAGATAATAAACTATCGCCATAGGTAATATTGGACTTTAAAAAGAGCCGGCTAGCTCAGGGGGCTAATGCCCTGGCTGTAAGATTACTGATCCAGCTGTGATACTGTCATCCGGAGCTCAAGCTCTTGAGTGGAAAGCTTAACGAGTAAAAGTAATTTCTGTTCATATAGATGATTCCTTACATACACTAGATATGGATTTTTTTTCACGCAACCAATGACAATAGAAAATTGAACACAAGATGAAAACCATGCATTGCATTATCGGCCACCTTCTATCCACTGCTTGATGGGAACATCAGCATGCCATCGTTATCCTCATTGTACGAGGCCAAATCCATTTTGCCCCTGTGCATGAGCTGATCTCATCACTCCAATTGGCGGACTTTGTGTTCTCTCTGATACGTCTCTGCCTTTTCGCTGCCATTCCATCACCAGTGTCATCCACCTGTTATCATCTCTTTTAGCAATATATCTTGCCCAAGAACACTTAAATTTCTTAAGCCGCCAATATGAACATGCGTTCCTCAATACCTTTCAGTGTGTAATGCGAGCGTAAATGGGGTTCATCTTCTTGGTTCTTTCGGTAAAGTCACGTGACTTTACAGAAAGAACCAAGAAGATGAATCCCTGCAGTCACGAAAGCTTTAAATCAAAATGTAAATGGGGTTGTTGCTGGGCTCGGGTCCTATCACATGGCCCGGGGTATTGGGGAGCGGAGCCTGGTCTGCGGGGCGTGTGGGAGGGGCCACCGTTGGGGGCGGAGCCAGCGGGGTAGTATGGGAAGGCTGGATCTGAGGATCCGGAAGGGGAGGAGTCAGGGTCACGTGGGGGGAATGTATATAAGTGGGAGCCCGGAAGAGATCGGGGCAGTCGGGGAAGCTAAGAGGCTGAGCCACGTTGGGTGGTGAGAGAAGATCCGCGCCATCGGCCACGTGGCCGAAGGACCTCTGCACGCCGTTGTCCAGCGGAGTGCGGGAATAAGGGAGCTAACAGGGGAGTGTGCGGGGCACGAGAGAGAGAGAGAGCGTGCGTGGCACGCGAGAGGAGCGTGCGCGGGGCGCACGCGAGACGACACTGGTCCGGGAGAAGAGGCCATTGGGGGTGCGGAGAAGAACCTAAATAAAAGACAAACGGAGACCAGCATCGCCTGACAGAGTCTTCCCAAATCGTATTTCTCCACGCTTCTTTTCATTATTTATTTTTATTCCACGATCATTGTCAGGGTCCACATTTCAAAACATTTATCGTGCCAGCTGATGTGCACTAATTGCAATATTTTAGTTTATTTCTATTATAAAGTTTAGTTTTTGCCAAATGTACTCAAACCTTGACTTAAAGCTTTCGTGACTGCAGGAATTAATACTCTTTGGTTATTTCGGTAAAGTCACGTAGATAGAAAAATAGCTAATAGATCACGACGTTTCGATAGCAACACAAGCCATCGTCTTCAGGTGAAACAATACAGCAGGCAGACTGCTGAGGCAGGAGGAAATGTAGCGAGAAAGCTGCTGCAACCAGAGGCTATATACGTTTGTGGTGGGCACAACCCAAGGGTAAGTGGGCGGGGCTAGGGATGGAATTTGCAAGTAAATGTAAGAGAACCATTTCCCTACGTCCTGCAGTGTAACTTGCATCGCAATAGCTTACGATAATTTAGCACATTTCATTTGCTGAAGAACATTTCCAGTCTTGGCACAGCTAACATGATAAGTTGCCATACAAGTATTGGCATTACTTGTTCGAAGTTAATTTGTAGTATTCTGTCTCACAGACACACGTTGGAGACAACCGATGGACTGAGTTGGTTTGGATGGGACATTTCTCTCGACACAATGATGGCCGATAGACAAGACTGGTTGCAAAATGGCAACCAAAGGAAGGAACGTGCCCACGAGCCCGACCACCATGGAGATGGAGTGATGAGATCTACTCTTGTGCAGGAGCAAGATGGTTGAGTCATTACAAGACCACGAAGGATGGTGAGAGTACAGGAAGACATCCATTCAGCAGTGGAGAGACTTTTGGCCGATAATGATGGTGCTCACGCTGACGAGGTTTGTACATTCTCTGCCCAGCCACTGAAGATGGCACTCTTCTTCTTCCTAGCGTTGTTCCCGCTGTGGCGCAGGGTCCGCTTTTCGGCATTGTCTTCTCCATTTGGCTCGGTCCAGGGCATCTTCAGGGGATGCGTTGACCGTCTTCATGTCTTCCTTTATTCGGTCCATCCATCGCTTCTTCGGACGTCCGCGTGGACGGCGGCCCTCTGGCTCAATACGCACGGCAGTCTTGGCCACTGATGACTCTTCACTTCGCATCACATGGCCGTACCACCGAAGCCTTGCCTCAAGCATCTTGTCCGCAATGGGGGCCACACCAAGTCGCTTCCGAACGTCTTCGTTCCTGACACAATCCCATCGAGTGAGCCCGAGGCTCCATCTGAGCATCCTCATCTCCATGGTGTGGAGAGCTTGTTCGTGTACAGTTGTGGCTGGCCAGCACTCGGATCCATAGAGTGCCACCGGTCGGACGATGGTCTTGTATATTTTTCCCTTCAGCCTATCCGGCATTTTCCGATCACAGAGGACTCCGGTGACTTGCCTCCATTTCATCCACGCCGCATTGACTCGTGACCTCACATCAGTCGTGATGCTACCATCTGAGCTGATGGTGGAGCCCAGGTACTTAAAGTCCGTCACTTTCTTCAGATCTTCTCCGTCAATACTGATGGTGCCGTCGGTTTGGGGGCCACACTCCATACACTCCGTCTTTTTGATGTTGAACCTCATCCCGTTTTCGTCCAAACGTTCCTTCCACAGGCGCGTTTGTCTTTCCACTTCTCCTCTCTCTTCATCTGAGAGGAGGACGTCATCCGCGTAGAGAATTGACCATGGGAGGGGCGTGTGCAGGTCGGCAGTGATCGTGTCCATGCACAGGATAAACAGGAGTGGTGACAGGGCCGATCCTTGGTGCACTCCAACGCTGATGGGAAATGGCGGTGATATGCCCACTGCACACCTGACTGCACTGGTGACGTTCTTGTATAGGAGTTGCACCCAATGCACGTAGGTTTCAGGGACTCCATGGGATCGAAGCGAGTGCCAGATGAGGTCGTGGGGGACCCTGTCAAATGCCTTTTCAAGGTCGAGGAACGACACGTGCACAGCTTTGTTCTTCTCTCTGTGCCTCTCCAGCAGGAGCCACTGAAGATGGCACTGAAAATAAGATTTAAAAAATAACTTTACACAAGCAAAATTGACATTCGGAGTAAATGTTGTTATTCTATTTGTGCATATTATGACAATACGTTCGGGGGCTAAATGCCAATATCGAGGTCTGCCAATCACGAGAGGGTCTCCAGAGAGAGTGTGCACAATTTAGATATACTGCCATTAAAGGAGTGCAGAGTACAGTAGTTTAATATATGGTCCATTGTAAATATAGTTATACACTCAGCGAAGAGAGTCCGATTTGTGATGGGGAAACATAAGTTATTTCTAGCTGATTGGCCTTCGAGGGTGCACACTGGAGAGCCACGTAGAACACTGCTTATATTGATTTGGACAGCTGGAGAAGTCCTGTTGTGCTTTGATGTGGAGCCTTGCCAGATTGAAATGTTCTTGAAGCTGTGACTGGGAGGCTCTGGAAGCCAAAAGCCAATCCAGAATTTCCATGTCGCCCATTGCTTCACATCACACATTCACAGCAATACAATTAATACATGAAAGGTTTAGAATGGAGGAAACATCAAACAAGTACTGGCATTTAAATGTATTCAAAAACTATGATGTTCCTTTGTAAGTAAAGGGGAGCAATTGAGACGAAATATTAGCCATTTTTAAGTGTATTGAAAGTGTTCCGAATATAAATAATTAAAGTGGGCAAAACTATTTTATACCTGCTAGCTGGATAATGTTCAGTCCATAACTATTTATTTTTATCTTGAGTGTTCAACAAGTTATGACGTTGGGTCACCACAAAGGACCATGACCTTAAGTTAAAAAAACGACATTGATTATTTTGCATTTGCAGAAGACATCAATTGTGCACACGTGCATCAGGAGCCTGCATTGACTCCCACACAGTGCACGGGAATCAATAGCTTTTTTATTATATGCTCGCATTAGGAGCCACCCCTGTGGCACACTGACCGTTTGCGGGATGGTTAATTTTGATATGATAAAAGTAACAGCCAACGCTAACCAAAATCATTTTGGCTCAAAATAATAGCCACATTAGAGTCCCAGTGTTTATTGATTGGCCTTTAAGGATTCTGGATTTACCATCAAAATTGTTTCGTACAATATGAACACTTACATGTAATTTAAACGCATTTATTGGCAGGTGTGTGGCCCGTGTCTCAGAGACAGTGCTTAGATCGTGTTTCACAACTCTCAATTATTTGAGCGGTGTGAAATTTCACAATGAGTTTCATTATAAGGTTAACACATTTGATATGTCACATACAAAATGTTGGAGTCATAAGCAACACAATCGATAATAATAATCAAGAGGTCAAGGGCAGTATCTTACGTTACGGCTGGGTACAGCTAAATAAACATCGACATTTTCCTGTAATAAAGTGAAACAATAAAAGGATGAAGACATTTAAATCAAAATCAAGATTTTTTTGTTACCAATTGGGGTAAAATAAAATCTGAAAATTTGCAAAGCACTCCTTTACCCGCACAAACAAGAAACACCTTTTTGTACAGCAAATAACGGATTTTTATTGATTGAGACACTGAGAGGAGTCTGATAGTGTCCTATTCCAGGGCTGTTATCTGCCAGGAAGTGTTGCTGTTGGTAAAGGTCTGTAATGGATTACAGCCTAGCCATTAAGTGACTGCAGTAGTGTAATTTGTGAAAACATATAAAAGCTAAAATAAAATGAAAAGAAGATCACAATTGAACATCGCTCTTGTGAATTTTATTTTGCCAATGTGGCTTGTCTGCCCCACTGGGACTTTTGATCCACTGCTATCAGATTCTAGGAATCTGCACCGATGTACGAACAAATGCACTATATGCATGCATTAAACGAACCGCGTATTGGAGGAGCAACTTCCATTAGTGTTAAAGATACAGCTGATTATCTGCTTTCCGCAGCGACCGAGGAATAACAATGCATGCCAAGGAGCAGCCTTCCTGTAGTCTGGCCTTGGGCCCCATGTTGAGATCACAGGTCCATGCACATCAAAGACTAATCGGAAGTGCGCTGTCAATACAGCACATAAAAGGAAAGCATATCTCCTGCCGCTAAAAGCGATGACAACAACCTTGAGGGTCACAGGAAGTGAAACATCACTGGAAGGTTACAATGAGCACATTTTGTGCCAGCAGATGTATTGTGCTCCAAGTCGTGACATCTGGGGCATTACCTTTGAAAATTTAAGCGTATGGAGAAATGGGCACAAATTCGGGGATGTTGTATTAGTGACAATTTTTCACATTTTAAATGCTTTGCTTGATGAATGTGCATTTCTACCTATCACAGAGTTACACATAAACTCATGCAGGCAAGCCTCCCGTTGACTGCAGTTCATGTTTAATATGTTTTTACGTTTTAAATGTAAATATGAATTCTAAATTTGACAGCAACTCTTGAAATGTTTAAAAGCATGGAGGTACACACATGTGTATGTAAGCCATATCAATGTGTATATCTCCTAGGGTACATAGTGTTATTGTATCCAAGTACAATGTCGTACATATGACTCACACTGAAAAATTAGATATAGGCGAATAGGTAAAAAGATCAGATTCATGAATATCTGTAGAAAATGACAGTTACACCATGTACAAATATTGCACTGGGTGTGGGAAGTTAATTGATCAGGGTGGACACGTGACGGTCGGTTATATGGCATCGTACTATATTATTGTGGTCTATTCCATTTTATCGTGCAATATTCTGATATCGCAACTCCATATAATTATCAGTATACCTTCCTTATATATATATATGTTTATTTATCCTCAGACTCTTCTGATAGCCCCCCATTGGGTGGTCCATTGGGTAATTTAGAATCACCTCTCTCACGAGCCCGTCGCAAGCCCCCTTTCTTTGTCGGCCTTGCTCAACGCCCTCCCAAGGGAAGGACCTCAGATCAACCGACAGCCACAGCCCGGCTCGCTTCTGCGACCACCCGCCAGACAGCGTCAGAATAAATAGGAGAACGGCAAGGGGCGGGTTATCTGAATCGAACAGTTTTTGAATGGGCCCTCGTTGCGGGGCCTCCAGGCGGGACAAGAATGGGTTTCCCGGGGACCCCGGTGACGATTTGTAAATGGCCTGACGGCCGCGGCCCCTCCCGGGAAGAAGATAAAGGGGAAGAAGAGGAAATGGGTGGCGGTCATTCCGTCCTCCCTGGCCCTCCTGTGGATGGTGCCGCTGGTTGTTCCGTGGTTGTCAGACACTGGAATCCTGTGGGTGGAAAAATAAAATTCCGCTGAGGCGCGACCTTCGTGACCGAACGCCCGGGCTTGTCAGACTACATCAGACACCCGGCCTTCAGGTAATGGGGATGAAACAATCTCGCAATATGGAAAATAGGGTTTCAATCATGACGGGTGCACATACCAGCGTCTGCGACCGACCTGGATCCGTACGCACTGCGGCCTCCTGACCTCAATCACCTCCACCGGGCTATGGTTATGTAATTTAGGGGACGTGCCCAGGGGCACCTGGGGGCAATGCAGCCATTCCTCGTTCCCAGGTTTCAAGGGGTTTCCAGATCCCTGAAGTCCCACCAACTTTTCATTTGCGGCCTGCTGTTTCTCCGAATTACCCCGAGAAGCTTCCCAAGCTTCCGTCAATCTTTTCAGGTTAAGGTGCATGGGCATAGGCACAGTAACTTTCTTCCTGCTCAGCTCTATGTCTAACTGAGTCTCCACGGGGGGGTTGTATTCCCTCCCGTACAGAACGATATTCATCTCCTGGGCCAGAATAACAGCCTCTTCAGCTCCAGAGTCCAGTCCCGCATGCTCCATCTTCGGAAATGCAGTTTGCACAAGTGACAGCAGCTGTGGAAGTCAACGGGCGTCTCGGTCTCCC